GTCGTGCACCTATGGATGAGGACAGTGGGTGGGGAGTGAGGGTGGAGGGTAGGGCGGGAACTGGGAGGCGGGGAGTTATGGGGGGGAAAAAGAGGAACAAACGTAATAATCTGAACAATAAAGATTTAATTTAAAAAAAAGAAAAAAAAGAATTAAAAAAAGAAAAAGAAAGCATTTATCCTGTCTTTCTTGTATGAACTCTATATCTGGGTACCAAAAAGATAAGAAAAATGTTTTCTTTATAGACCTGTTCTAATTAATACTCCTATAATAAGGAGTAGCAATTTGAATATCATCATCTTATAAATCTAATCAAATAATGGATCTAGGCAAAGATAATCAATAGCTGCTGGAAATCCTTCAATGAAAAGCTGATTGAATACTTCCCAATGAATGGAGGGATAAGCCAGCAGCTTGCTGGAGCTGGCTTGACTGACTCACAGAACCAGTTGCTAAATTTTCAGGAATTTTGCAAGCCAATTGATGTTGTGTTGGTAGGAATATTTATATCATGGAAACTAGTATAAATCAGAGAAATGCTATGAAGTAGCTCCCACTCCAAACATCCTCCAAGTTGGTTGTTAAATATTTATCAGCACATCATTAGATAAGGTTAACAATACCTGAATACACTGATCAATCTTAACCTTACTAACAAAGAGATGACCAAATATTATAGTCTTCTGGTGAAAGAACAAAACACCAAATGAAGTGTTCTTGCTAAAAAAAAAAAAAAAAAAACAGACTCAAATCAAAAAGCAAAAAATCTAGAACACAGGAAATTCTACAGGATAAAAGACCCAGTTTCCAAAGAAAATATATATAGAATATATATATTCTATAAAGGAAAAAACAGGAGGGTGAGAGACAGAAGAGACAAATCAGCTAAATGCAATATTTGAGCCTTGTTTGGATTCTGATTTGAACCAACTATATGCAATGTATAGAGAGAAACATATATGACAAATTGGGAAAACTGAACACTAGCTGGATGGTTTGATATTAAGGAAATACTGTTAATTTTTCAGGTATAATATGGTATTATGGTTACTTTTTTTTAATGATTACATTAAAAAAGTCCTTATCTTTTAGTAAACCATACTGACATATTTACATATAAAATGACATCATGGTGCAGGAAGGAGAGACGTGGATGGGGTATAGATGAAAAAAGACTGGTCATGAGTTGATATCTATTTAATTGGCTGATGGATACACATGGGAATTCATTATAGTATTAACTCTTCCATATATTTTTTTAAATTAGCCATCATACAAAAATTTTTATTTTTTTTTCCTTTTATTAAGGTATTACGTATGTGTCCTTATCCCCTCATTGCCCCCCTACCCCCCACTCATGCCCTCACCCTCCTGTTGCCTGTGTCCATTGGTTATGCTTATATGCATGCGTACAAGTCCTTTGGTTGATCTCTCCCCCTTACCCACTCCCTCCCCTACCTTCCCTCTGAGGTTTGACGGTCTGATCGATGCTTCTCTGTCTCTGGATCTGTTTTTGTTCATCTGTTTATGTTGTTCATTATATTCCACAAATGAGTGAGATCATGTAATATTTATCCTTCTCTGACTGGCTTATTTCGCTTAGCATAATGCTCATACAAAAGTTTTCAAATAGTGAAAAGAAGCTTTGCTGGCATTTATCAAACTATACTCCAAATATTCTTACTTTCAGTGGTAAGTTCTTGTTTTAAAGCAGAGATTTCCTTTAATTGAGTATAGAAATTTCTAGTCTTTAAATTGGCAAAGTAGATACAACACTCTAAAATACTGTCCTCAACCTTTAATGCACATCGGAATCACCTGGAGGGATTGACTGTTAAAAGATTGCCGGCTCCCATCTCCAGTTTCTGGTTCATAGGTTTGAGAAGGAAACAGAGTTGGCATTTCTAACAATTTCCCAGGTGGTGTTGATGCTACTAATTCAGGAACCACACTAAGAATTGATCTGAGAATGTTTGCTGGTAGGCTGCCTGGAACCTATATTCAATGAATATACAGTGGGGCCTTGACTTAGGAGTGTCCTGACTAACGAGTTTTTTGAGATACCAGCTGTCTCTCTGCGGATTTTTTGCTTTGAGTTGACAGAGTAATTTGAGTTAACGAGCTCCTTAACGAGCTTGGTCTCGGAATGAATTAAACTCGTAAGTCAAGGACCCACTGTAGTAAGTAGGTAAAATACAATATAATAAATTGATGTGATCTCTTATGGATTTAAAAAAAATTTTAAATTAATTTTAAAGAGGAAGGGAGAGGAGAGAAAAAAGAGAGGGAAACATCGATGTGAGAGAGAAATATCAATCAGTTTGCCTTCCTTATGCACCCCAACTGGGGACCAAACCCACAACCTGGGCACATGCCCTGACCAGGAATCAAACTGGCAAAGCTTCAATGCACAGGATGACACTCAACTGAGCCACACCGGCCAGATTCTCACAGATTTTTCTCTCAGACTTATCTATATAGCATAACGTATTTGAAAGGACATAATGTTCACCAAGCCAGTGTGGCTCAGTGGTTGAGTGCTGATCTAAGAACTTGGAGGTCAAGGTTTGGTTCCTGGTCAGGGACATGCCCCAGTTGTGGGCTCAATCCCCAATGGTGGCATGCAGGAGGCAGATGATCAGTGATTCATTAATGTTTCTATCTGTCTTTCCCTCTTCCTTCCTTTCTGAAGTCAATAAAATATATATATATATTTTTTAAAAGGACATAATGTTCCCATTGATGAATGAGGGGACCAGGTTCCCTATTTCATATTCAGTAGGCTAATGTTTTTAAGTTATAACACACATAGACAGAAAACAGATCACTGGTTGCCTGGAAATGAGAACGGAAAGAAGGTAGTTACAAAAGGGCACAAGAACACTTTTGAGGGTGATGTATCATATTGATTGTAGTAATGGTTTCAAGGATGTGTATGTATGTCAAAACTTACCAAATTGTATTTATATGTTTTATATGTAAATTATACCTCAATAATGCTGGAAGAAGTGTTAAAGATATAAAAAGTATAGTGATTTCACATTTTTACTAAGGATTCAGATAGATAACCAGAAATATTTCAAGAAATATGAATAAGGTTTCTTTCTCATAAAACTACAGAAGCTGAGATTCTGGAGCAATCCAAGGATTTGAGAGTTCCCCATTCCTACAGTGAGCAGATCTCCTATGGTTGCTCCTACTTCTTCCCATGACACAGGGAATATTCTAGTTGCACTCATACCTTCAAGCCTTTTTTAAATGACCAACTCCTAATATGAAAGACATTAAGAGCGCCAAAACCGGTTTGGCTCAGTGGATTGAGCGTCGGCCTGCAGACTGAAGGGTCCCAGGTTCGATTCCGGTCACGGGCCTGTACCTGGGTTGCGGGCACATCCCCAGTGGGAGTTGTGCAGGAGGCAGCTGATCGATGTTTCTAACTCTCTATCTCTCTCCCTTCCTCTCTGTAAAAAATCAATAAAATATATTTTTTTAAAAAAAAGAAAGACATTAAGAGTTCATCCCCAGCCATCCCGCCTTCCACATCCTCCCTGTGTTCCTTTTTCCGCCTAAGCAGAACACTTCAAAGACAGTGACATTGTAAAGTGCCTTCCTTCTCTTGTTCTTTATCTATGAATCGGGGATAAAGCTACCCAGCATACAGAATTATGATATGGATAAAGTAAAAAATTTAAGTGCCTGACATCAGGGCTCAGTAAACAGCTCCTTCCTGCTCAAAATCCTTCTCTGTGACCAAAAAAAAAAGTAATGAAAATAATTTCATGTGTTTTCTGAAGGATTACTTCATGTTTCAAACCAAGTTAATATTAAAAGATTTAACAGTTAAAAACTGTCATCAAACCATAAAGTTATAGATATTGATGGATTTTTTTTTAAGAAAATAATGTCTGAGCACAATCTATCCCTTAAAGAGTTTCATAAGGTTGATGAAACAGCTCTATTTTGGTAACAATGATCACTGTCTACTCTGGCAGGTGCTAGTGAATTAAATGCTTGCCAGGTTAAATCAGAGCAATGCCAGGCAGGCAGCGACTGCACATGCTATGAATGCATACCCCCAAATAAAAAAAAAATCCTTTATTGCCTTGAAAATTTGCTGTCCTAGAGCTTTCAAAATAATGACACAATTTTCCTGTATTTGGAGAAAGCAATCAAAGGCATGGATACATCAATATATGTTTTCTGACTTATTCTATTATCTTTTGGTATATTGGTGAATTTTTCTCCCATTATTAAAAGACACTGGGGCCACAGTTGAAAGAAAACAAAAGAATGATTCCCTGAAGTTAGAAAAAGGGGGGACTGTGGCCAGTAGTTGCACACTCCACTTTTCCTCTACTCAGTTTTTAGTCTAAAAGTAGAATTACTCCTGAGTGCACATTTTCAGAACATAACAAATCCAATGCATCCAAATCTTTATTCAACTTCGTTTCATCTTTACCAACTGACTGCAAAACCCCCCTTCCCCGCCAAATCGGAGTTCAGTGTGGTTACAGTCTAATCACATTTATACAGCGAACTGAAAATTACTAACTTACCTGGACAATTACTTCTATATTATGTGTACTATTAATGTAGTTTCTTGGGTTCCACTTCAGTGTGAAAATAGGACCAGACAAATGAGTAGCTTCCCCCAAATGAACTCCATCAATCTTAACTGTGACAGAAGTAATGGAGGAGGAGGAAAAGGCCAAGACTCTGAAAGGAAAGCATATATAACACAGGTTTTAGGTATTTGTCATGTTTTTATAAAGGAGAATAACCTATTATAACCTGAAAAGATAAAAGTATAGGCAGAATCATGACATGATACTATTGTAGGGACCACTATTCATATAATGTGGTTTCTTTCTGAATGGTGGCTTTTGGAGTTGCATAATTCAGCAAACCTGAACTGGTGAGAAATTTGAAACTATTCTGGAGTAGTTTCTGGAGTATATTTTGGAGTAGAATCAAAGTTCTTTCTGAAGAAACTCCTAAAGTCCTGGTTTTTCTCATAGAAAGAGAATGTAAATTAGACATTTGTTCATCTAATGTCAAGCCTACCATCTCCTATTTGGTTCCCATCCACTCACTTGGTTCTTCGATCTACCCTAAAGAAGCAATGTTACAAATAAGGCTAAGGTTACCAGGCCCCAGAGAATATAATGCCTAAATTTGATATCCAGCTCCTATTAAAAAAAACAAAAACCTGAGAAATGTATGTTTTACTTAACTAGTGATAAAAAAAAAAAATCTTAAAACAGCTTGATACCATTTTTTCCAGATTAAGTAGTAAATCTTTTTAAAAGTACAATATCTAATAACATATAAATTAGTACCTGTTTTAAAAGTAATTGGGTACCTTATTCACTGGTGGTGGGAATGTGAAGTGGTAAAGCCACTATGGAAAACACGGGTGGGGTCCCTCGACCTGGCCGGCGATCAGGGCCATGGGGCCGGCTACCTAGTCCCCATTGGGGCTGATCGGGGGCAGCCAACCAGGAGCAGGGACCACGGGAGGTTGGCTGTGGGAGAGCACTGACCACCAGGGGGCAGCTTCTGCATTAAGCATCTGTCCCCTGGCGGTCAGTGCGCATCATAGCGACCAGTTGTAAAGGTCACTTAGGCTTTTATATGTATAGATGTCAGCCCAATACATTTTAAAAATAAGAATAGATTGTGCCCTATTATTACAACTATGTAAAAAGATGCCTAAAAGAGAATGCCTACTAAGGGAAACTCAAAATCATTAATAATAGTTCTACTGGTGAGGAGGTGGGGATACACATATAATCCCACACCCTATTTTCCAAAGGTGGTTGTTGTATTACTTTTCAAAATAAAATTTAAAAGAGCATAAAGTACATATATTACCTTAGCTGGTTTGGCTCAGTGGATAGAACAACAGCCTGCAGACTGTGGGGTCCAGGGATTGATTCCAGTCAAGGGCACATGCCCAGGATGTGGGTTCAATCCCCAATAGGGGGCATGCTGGAGGCAGCCAATCAGTGATTCTCTCTCATCATTGGTGTCTCTCTCTCCCCCTCCCTTCCTCTCTGAAATCAATAAAAATATGCTTAAAAATAAAGTACATATATTTAAAAGAGTGCCTTTATGTTTGAGAAAGGTTTCATAAGTCTCTTTAATTTACAGTCACATTCACATGGCAACAGAATATTTAATTCCATAAGGTTTATATAGCTTTTTCTTTTTTGGAAAGCTATGTAGCAAAATGAAAAAAATTTGTGATATAAAGTATAACTGTTTTAAGTAGTATACAAACGGATATCCTAGAATAACCCTAAAATATGTATGTTATAACTATAACAATATAATAACATGCAGATAAAATTTAAAAAAGTAATAATGGTAGGATTATGGGTTTCTGGATAGTTTTTAAACTTTCAGCAGCATACTAGTAAATATTTTATATACACATATGTGTGTGTGTGTGTGTATACACACACATATATATACATATATACCGAGTGGCCAGGTTATTATGACCATCCCATCAGCACTTCATTTACACTTCCAAAAATACTGAATATCGAAAACTTCCTAAGCAAATACTCTCAAGGTTTTATTATTATTTGCATAACTAATTCACTTCATTGTACTGATGGGGTGGTCATAATAATCTGGCCGGTCATAATAATCTGGCCACTCAGTATATATATGTTTTACAGGCCTGGTGCACAAAATTTGTGTACTGGGGGGTGGGGGTCCCTCAGCCCAGCCTGCCCCCTCTCACAGTCCGGGAGCCCTCAGGGGATGTCCTACTGATGGCATAGGCCCGCTCCCCAGCCGCAGATGCTCAGAGCAGGTGCCCTGTATGTGTGTGTGTGTGTGTATGTGTGTGTGTCCGCTGGGGGCTTGCCCCAGCCGTGACAGAGGCTCAGAGAAGGTGCCTTGTGTGTGTGTGTATGTGTGTGTCCACTGGGGGTGTGGGGAGGCGGTGTGGCCAGGCTGGGCTCTGAGTAATACCATCACTGCTGCCACTGTCATTAGCGTCTGGGATGCAGGCATGGGTTGAAAAGACTGAACCACACCCCAGGCCTCTCTGACTCTGAGTTTGTTCATCTGGGAGTTGAAGCAGGAGGGGCCGAGCCCCACACTCTAGGCCCTTCACAGAGACATCTTCTTTGCCCTCAGTCATCTTCCCCTTTCCAGGCCTGAGGACAGCAGCATTCTTCTTGGGGTTTTTTTTACCTTTTTTTTTTTTTTTTTTTTAAGAATGTGGAGATTTCTAGAAAAGACAAAATTACAGAGACAGAAAGCAGACCTTTGCTTGCCTGGGGCTGGGGTGGGGTTGACTGCATATGGGCAAACAGCGTGATGGAAGCTTGAAAACGGTTTGTGTCGGTGGTTGAGCTGCTGTGGAAATTCATGCATCAAACAGTATGCCTGCTGTGGGTGAGTTGTATGGCATGTAAGTGCCTCTTCAAGAAAGCTGTGTAAAGGCATACATCTAAAAGGGAGCCCTCTTAAAGCCACAGTTGGTGAGGGATTACCACCTTCTAGGAACTTGATAGAAAGTGTTCAGTCAATGGTTGTGAACCTGAAGAAGAGTGGAGAGGGTGCTGAATTGGAAGCTTTATGTGACCTGGGCAGGTCTCAACTCTGTCTGGGTCTGTTCCCCTGACTGTGACATCCCGAGTTGATGGCCTCGAAGGGGTGAGAGGTGCCGGGGACGGCCCCTGCGGTGGCTGCCCTGCCCAGCACTCTGTGCTGCAGACCCTCGGGCTGTCCCAGGGCTGCTGAGCCTTCGCCTTTGCCACCGAGCACCTCTGCCTTCCTGCCTTTGTGCGGAGAACTTCCTCCCGCCAGCCCCTGGAGCAAACGCACAGCCGGGAACAGCTGGAAAATCCGATTGGCCTGGCCAGAGAGATTGATTCTTAGGAAGAAGAAGGGAGGGAGAGAGAGAGAAAGAGAAAAAAAACATCGATAGATTGCCTCCCAAACACACCCAGACTGGGGATCTAACTTGCAACCTGGGTATGTGCAAGCTGAGACTGCGTGTTCTCTCAGGCTCGGGCCACACCCGGCCGCTCCTCCTGAGCTGGTCCTGACCATTACGGAGTCTTGACCTCATTTGCATGTTACTGATTATATATATATATATATGAAGAGAGAGAGAGAGAGAGAGAGAGAGAGAGAGAGAGAGAGAGAGAATATGAGAGAGAAAAAGAGAGAAAGGGAGAATTGATTTTTAGGAAGAAGAAGGGAGGGAGAGAGAGAGAGAAAAAAAAACATCGATAGGTTGCCTCCCAAACACACCCAGACTGGGGATCTAACTTGCAACCTGGGTATGTGCCCTGACCAAAAATAGAACTTGCAACCTTTTGATATATGGGACGACACTCCAACCAGCTGGGCCACACTGGCCAAGGCTAAAATATATTTTTAACTGAATTGGAATGAAACAGTAACCAATTTGTCTATCTATACTAATTAAAGGGTAGTATGCTAATTAGGGAGGATGTCTTCCGGATGTCCATCCAGATGTTCATCCGGACAAAGCTACAGTGGCTGCAAGGCCTGGGGCTCATGGCAGCCGTGGCCATGGGCTCAGGTAGCCATGAGCCCTGGCAGTTGCGAGGCTCGGAGCTCAGGCCTCGCAGCCGCCACATTGGCTGCAGCAGCGGGGTGATGGGGGTGGCACCTTCCCCTGATCAGCCTGGTCACCTCCAGTAGAGGGAGGCCAGACTTTGGCTTAGGCCCGCTCCCCAGGGGAAGCGGGCCTAAGCTGTCAATAGGACATCCCCTGAGGGCTCCCAGACTGTGAGAGGGGGCAGACCAGGCTGAGGGACCCCTCCCCTCCAGTGCATGAATTTTCATGCACCAGGCCTCTAGTATCCTTACTAATAAAAGCCTAAGTAGTCGTCATGCTGTGATGCCCTCATGCCGTCACAAGATGGCTGCATGCACAGTGGGCATGCGCAGGCAGGCGGGGCTGGGCTTGACGCTGTGCACGCGGCACGAAGCCTGCCTGGGAGTCCCACCTCCTCCTGGCTCTGCGCAGCAAGGGCTGCCTGGGGATCCTGCCTCCTCCCAGATCTGCACGGCAAGGCCTGCCTGGGGATCCTGACTCCTGGCTCTGCAGGGCACGGAGGCAGGACCCCTGACTCCAGCCTACCTCTTTGGGGCAATCCATCAAGGAGCCCTGGATGGGTGGGTAGGGCCTACCTCTTTGGGGTGACTGATTGTGGGGTTCCCGCACTGTAACAGGGCATAGGCCAGGCTGGGGGACCCCCTTGAGTGCACGAATTTTGTGCACCAGGCCTCCAGTGTGTGTGTATATATATAAAAGCCTAAGCAACCATTACAACTGGAATGACCAGTCGACCAGTCCCTATGACGTGCACTGACCACCAGGGGGCAGATGCTCAACACAGGAGCTGCCCCTGGTGGTCAGTGTGCTCCCAAGGCCAACCTCCCGCAGCCAGGGCAGCATTGGCATCCGGTGTCCATTTCTTATGCCTGGCCTGGTGACCGTCGCCTCCTCTCCCAACCCCACTGGGGCCTTTGGGCCCCAGGCTGGGATGGGGAACCGGGCGTGGGTGGTGGTGGACGCAGCCCCTTTCCCAGAGGGGCTGAGGGCCGGCTCCATCCTTGGGGCCAGCAGCCAAACTCCCACGCCCCGTCCCTCCCCCCGGTTGGCAGGCCCTGATTGACCCACCACCCACCTCCTGCGCTGGCGGTGAGGCGGCGAAGGAAGG